AACATTAATTTTGTGCAACATTAATTCAACTTGTCCTGTAGAGATAAACAGGTGCTATGCTGTAATAGCATCCTGCAGTAAAATGTGAATTTCTATTTAAAAAAAAACAGTATAGGCAATGGCTTAACTTGGAAATATGTTCAATTTTACAGGGTTATTTTAGAATTGGTTACTGGAAATTGAAAGTCACGTCACAGAAGCCATATATATGCATGGCATTGAGATTTTCAAGTGTGTCAATAAAAGCCTATCTATATAATGATGAATCACATGCTGTGTATCCGGGCATTATGATATACAAATGAATCAGACACAATCCCTGAGCCATTCAGATCACCACGTGGACAGAAAGATGAACAAATAAAACAAATCATCCTAATGCAGAAATTGAAAGGTTACACAGCTATGCAGGGCAATGTGGTTGCACCAGGAAAAGAGTGATTAACTCTGCAACTGAAGAAGCTGCAGAAGGAACCAGGAAGGCAGCTGGGCAGCATAGTTGCCTGGGTCAAGCTTTGGCACCAGGGAATAAAAAAAGTTCAAGAGCGTGGGGAGATACTTCAAAGCCAGGAGCACATGCCTGGCATAAATGGGGCACGAATGAAGCTCAATGGGCTTGATTCCCAGAACCACATGTCCCCCAGACACCACTGAGGGTAGCCCCTGGTGGCCTCAGCATCTCTGGGCCCAACCAGCACCACCAGGCCCAATCTTTGAACAGTTCAATCTCCCACAGCCAGGGGCCTGACTATTGCAGGGGACAGTGGTCCCCCAACTCCCTGAAAAGACGGAGGAGAGTGCAAATAGAACAGGAGCTAGGGTCAGAGGCACTGTCATGATGGGTGTGATGCACGCAACACTCCATGCTGAAAGCATAAATATTAATACTATTGCAAACCATGGGAACTCTTTTTCTTAAGTTTAAGGAAAAGAAGTTGAGGAAAGCATAAAAGAAGTGTAAAAATTCTTTGTCAGCTGATGGGAGAGGAAGAACTTGAGAAAGAGCAAGTTTCCTTGAAGAGTACTGTGAGAATAACAAGTACAAGGAGGCCAACTGAGAAAAGTGAGTCTGGCAAATCAGGAGGTTTTTGTGGCTCGCCAAAGAATAAGACCTTCTTCTGCCTGGAACTTCCCAGTATATCTGAACGTGGTGACCAGAGAGGAAGTGTTGAGTCATGGGGTGGATGTGTGTTTGATTTTATTGGCTCAACAACTTTCACACCAACCAGCATGACTAAAGATATGGTTGTTCAGCTATGATTACTGTCAATCTTAGAAATTTGGGCTATTTTCATGGGGGTGTGGTGGTATCTCACCATGATGCCCTGATGACTAGTAATGTTGAATATCTTTTCAGATGTTCAGTGGTTATTCTTAAGTTTTTACCTAATTTTAATAAGCTTTGTGTTTCTTTTTTTAAGTCACTGGGTTGAGGTGCCGCTTATTTGGAGTTACAACTTAAGTTCTTTGTCAGATACATGTACTGTGATTACTTTCTCCCACTTCGTTACTTCATTGTTATTTTGTGTGGATGAGGAAAAGTTTTAAATTTAAAGTTCAATTCATCAATATTTGTTTTTTAAGAAAGTGTTTTCTGTCTCCTCTTCCTCTCAAGTTGTATATATATTTCATTTTGGCTTTCCCTCAAAGTACTATAATTTCAGTTATTTTATATTTAGTCTGTGATTAATCTTTAATGAATTATTTTTGTATGATGTCAGAAGGAATGAAGGATTTTTTTTTCTATATTGGAACATTGTTATCCTTATCCTAACATCATTTGTTGAAAAGACTTTCTACTTCTCTTTGTGTCATTGCTTTGATCTTAAAAAAACAAAACAAAACAAAATAAACAGTTGTAGTGTTTATTTGTGTCTATAGTTTATGCTATCTATCCATGAACTCTAATCTTTTTCATAAATTTATCTATCTGGTCTTATGCCAGTACAATAGTTTTAGAAAAAATTTTAAAATTCTCTAATGTTTCTCTCTCTCTTTTTTTATGATAGCTTGCAGATATTTGAGATCCTCTTCATTCCATATCCATTACAGAATCAGTATGTCAATTTCTACCAAAACATTTGATCTCCCCCTAGTTTGGGGGCCATACCTGGTGGTACTCATGTTTACTCCATGCTTAGTATTTTAGGTTTGCTCCCAGCAGTGCTTAGGAGAACATGTGATACAGAAACAGAATCTGGACCTCCTGCATGCGAAGCACTCACTCTACCTCCATGAACCAATGGGAATATTTCTGAATTCTGGGACACAACTGACTTTTTTTATTAATTCCAATTTTCACTGATGTTAGAAAGGCCTGTAAAGAGTAGGGCAATAGTGGAAACAACATAAAACGCTAGAAACAGGCTTAGAGATGGTTCATTCAGGTGGTGCACAGAGGATTAGAACTGGAGGAATGGCTCCAGGAGAGACAGCTATGTCAAGCGATGATCACTGAGTCTTCCCTGAAGCGACCCGCCTCTCAGATGTTGAAGCCTGTTTATATTATCATCAGTGTTTGTTGCAGTGAAGAAATAGAGAAAGAAAAGAGAAAGGTAGTTCTGTATAGTAGAAAAAAGGGAATATTTGTAGATAGCACACAAGGCAGTATACTTATAGACTTGCAAGTATTCCTTTAGTAAAATGCATTTACTTTGCACAATAATTTTAGAACACTTTGTCAATCATTTTAAAATAAAATTATAAAATGAACAATTAAAAAAGCATTTGCGGGGGGGGGGAGGGTTGGTTTGAGCTACAGCTGGTGGTACTCAGGGCTTAATCCTGGCTGTGTTCAGTGGTCACTATTGTAGGTGCTTGGAAGACCCTATGCAGTGCCAGGAATTGAACTGGAGTTGGCCACAGGGAAGGCACACACCTTAAGCCCTGTACCATCTCTCAAGATGCTAAAATAATTATGTTTTAAAGCATATATACCATAAGAATTAATGTGCTTTACATTCTTCAGGCTATCTGAGCTATTTTTAAAAGTTTTAAATAAAATTCAACTACTAATTCTGAGTGCTAGATATTTACAAATGTAATTTTATATTTTAAAGTTCTTTTAGATATTTGATAGCTAAGTAATAAAACTTAGGGCAAAATAAAACATGAAAACAAAACAATAATTAAACCATATAATTTCTTTTTATTTCTAATATCTGAATTTTAAATAAAGATTGTTTCTCAGTTGAAATTTTATATTCATATTTCCATTACATAATGGAGTACAGTTAAAAGAGGTATTTGCTTAACTCAACATTTGGCTCAAATCACAATTGATCTAAATAGTTTTTCTGTTCTTTGTCTCAGAATGGGTTATGTTTTTCTAATTCTGCTTTTGTCAAATAATTTTGAATTGCATACTTTAAATATTTTAACCTCATGGAGGAGGAATTGTTTGGGATGGGAGATGTGTACTGAAAGTAGATAAAGGACCAAATGTGATAACCTCTCAGTATCTGTATTGCAAGCCATAATTCCTCAAAATAGAGAGAGAGAGTATGGGGGAAATTGTCTGCCATGGAGGTAGAGGGAGGGTTGGAAATGGGGGGGGTTACTAGGGACATTGGTGCTGGAGAACATGCACTGGTAGAGGGATGGGTGTTTGATCATTGTAAGACTGAAACTCAAGCTTTGTAACTGTATCTCATGGTGATTTTATATATATATATATATATATACACACACACACACACACACACACACATATATATATATATCTTTGTCCAAAAACTGGCAGGTTACCGAATGTAGCCTGCCCACACGGCAGAGTCTGGCAAACTCCCCGTGGCGTACCCAGTATGCCAAATACCAGTAACAATGATGGGTCTCATTCTCCTAAAGAGCCGTGAATATAATCTCAGGGCTAGGATGAAGGAGACGTTACTGGGGCCTGCTCGAGGCAATCGACGAATAACAGGATGATTTGTGATTTGTGATATATATCTTTAAGTAAAAAAATGCAATAAATTATAAAATTAAAACATTAAAAAGAAATTTTAACCTGGATCTCTGAATTCTGGGCTGGAGCGATAGCACAGTGGGTAGGGCATTTGCCTCGCAAGCGGCCAATATGGCCGAACTTAGTTCGATTCCTCCGTCCCCCCTCCGAGAGCCCAGCAAGCTACCTAGAGTATCTTGCCCGCATGGCAAAGCCTGGCAAGCTACCCATGACGTATTTGATATGCCAAACACAGCAACAATTGTCACAATGGAGACGTTACTGGACCCGCTCTAGCAAATTGATGAACAACAGGAAGACAGTGACAGTGACTCTGAATTCTATTTTAACTCTGTGAAAAATATTGTTTATTTTTACACAAAACTTGCTATAAAACTCTCACCATTCTTGCTTCCTATTTATCTAATTACCAAAGTATTAGGTAGAGTACTTATCTTGCCTGTGACTGATCTGGATTCAATCCCTCGCACCTTATATGGTCCCATTAGTCCTGCCAGGATTGATTCCTGAGCATAGAGTTAGGAATAAGCCCTGAGCACAGCCAGGTATGGTCCCCAAACAAAACAAAATATTATCTTAGTAAATTAGAAATAAAATTAAGGGTGAAATCATAGAGTATGATTTGCACAGGTCCAAGAGATCTGTGTTTCCACACTCTTCTGCCAAGGCATTTGTATGAGAACAGAGATATCTCAGAATCAGGGAGAAATATCCTGATGAAGGCACTCTAAATCAAGCATTCTAAAATGTGTTTCTATTTTGTTTACAATTTTAAAATTGCATAGATTCTGCTGTACATATAATTTGTGCATTTATTTTATTATTAAAATGCTTTAAGCTATTTTATATGGATAAAAATGAAGACTTTATAAAGACGTGTCATGTTGACTCACTTTATGAAGATGTGTCATGTTTACTCACATGTATCCCTGTGAGTATAAAATCCTAATTGAGAAACACAGCATTTAAAAACATGCTATTTAAATATTTACCTTGTAAACACATGCTATTTGAGCATTTACCATGTGTATCTTACCTCAAGAGTAGGTGGACTCTTTCTGGTACCTCGAATCCAAGCTAGAGAGAAAAAATAATATTTAAATGTAAGTTCTGTAAATTGCTTAGTTTTTTTTAATTCATTCACACATAAAAAAAATATTTATCGAGCATTTGTTATATATTTATTGTTTTAGGTAGTGAAGATGTAACAAGAACCAAACATGAATTCCCTCATTTCCTATAACATAAATACTCAGTAATGAAGGGAGTACAGGAACTAAACACATAAACATATAATGTTAGGTAGGGATTTGCATTATTAAAAAATACAGCGGGGAAGGGAGGACAGAGAGGAGACTATTTCATATCTAAAATTGTTCAAATTCAATTTAGTTTATTTAGTGGCATAGAGGACAAATCACAATTCAGTAAGCTTCAAGGCAATACCAAAATCTTATTATCCCGAAAATTTGAATTATTTATTGTTCAATTTATAAAGGAAGAGACCCAGAAAAGTTCCCATTTATAGAGATGTCTCTTCTGATCTGCTCTAGCAAGAAGCCTGTCTCCTATGCTGGCATCATCGGGCCTTAGCACCAACACCTGTGACAACAGAGAAAGCTGCAGAACAGAAAAAGCCCAGGCCTATTAAGGTCCACTGGGCACGGGACTCTGTGCTAGGTGCTGACTTATAACAACAGGAAGCAAGTTCGGTGACTGCCTCTAAAGAAGTACATCAAAATCACCCGGAAGATATACAGTACTGAACTCTGGAAAGTAGAACTACATTTTCTAGGGTTATTAGCTGTATCACCTGGGTCAAGTTATTTAATTTTCTAACCATTCGATTTCCCCTCTGTAAAGCAGCTATTATGAAATTACCCACATTTTAGAGTTGTTGTAAAAGTTGCATGAAATTACATCTCTCTATATGCTACATCCAATGCATTTATAAATTCTTAACTCAGAGTCTGAATACAGTAAGCATGAAAGTCTGTTACTAATATTATTTAATATTTTGTTTTTACTTTTTTAAAAATTCTATTTTATTCTGGGCTCTGTGGTTCACACATTATTATTAGTAGGGTTTCCTATATGAAATATCTCATCACCGCACCCTCCACCAGAGTGTCAGCTTCCCTCCACCACTGTCCCCGTGTCCCTCTCCCAGGCCCCTGCGGTAAGCTTCCTACTGAAGGCAACTTCTCAGTTTCTATTGCCTTTAGGCATGTGTTATCCCCCTACAATTATTTTTCTTTCTTCGTGAAACAAGATAGTTTTTTCGGAAAGAAATTTACTTAGAAAAATGTGAAGGGAAAAAGAGGAACATGAATTCAAGAGAGAGCATGTGCACAAGTAACCATTAATTATAATTCAGTAAGCTTCAAGGCAATACCAAAATTGAACCACAGAATCTCAATAAAAAATGAGAAATATATTAAAAATAAAGTAAAAAAGGAGAGAGAACAGAATCCTAAAAGAGCACTCCACAATGATTCTCTATATCCCACATATAAGGGAGATTATTCTGTATTGGTACCACATGGTTTCCCCACCTCCCTCCAGCACCAAGTAGAAATAGCCCTTAAGGACTTTTTCATCACTTAGCTTATTCTTCATTACAAAATCATAAAATATTCAAAACTGGGGGGAGCAGCTGTGGTAGAGTACATACTTCACATAGGTTAGGCCCTGAGTTCTATCCCCCGTACTTAGTACGAAGGTGGATTCAAAATTGTGACATAACCTTATTTTATAGAAAAAAAGCCTCTCAAATTTATTATTATTTTTAATTTTATTATCTTATTAATTATATTATCTTATTATCTCATTCCTACTTTGGACAAACTGGCAGGCTACCGAATGTAGCCTGTCCACACGGCAGAGTCTGGAAACTCCCCGTGGCGTACCCAATATTGCCAAATACCAGTAACAATGATGGGTCTCATTCTCTTAACTCTGAAAGAGCCTTGAATGTCCTCAGGGCTTGGACGATATGTCTTGAACGAGACGTTACTGGGGCCTGCTCGAGGCAATCGATGAATAATAAATAATAATTTTATAAAGTAGTTCACAATATTTGGTTACATTTAATATTCAAACACCAACCCTACCACCATTATACCTTCCCACCACCATATTTTGGGTGTTTCCATCCTGAACCCCAATCCTTGCCCCAAAGCAAAACTGAAATAATACAATATTTCCCTCTAAAAGGTTGGTTGTCTCCTATTCTGAATACCATCAAATATAGTGCAGTACTCTTTTTTTTTTTTTTTCTTTTTGGGTCACACCTGGCGATGCACAGAGGTTACTCCTGGCTCTGCACTCAGGAATTACTCCTGGCGGTGCTCAGGGGACCATATGGGACGCTGGGAATTGAACCCGGGTTGGCCGCCTGCAAGGCAAACACCCTACCTGCTGCGCCATCTCTCCAGCCCCTAGTACAGTACTCTTGGACCATGGATAGGGTGTGTCCTATGAAGTGTCACGCAGCTGCAAATGCAGCCGTGCAGTCCAGGGAAAGGTTCAGTCATGGGTGAGGCTTGGCCCGAGCAAGGCAGTGGTTGGGTTCTGGAGGTTTTCAGCTGCTGGGGCTGGATCCCTTGGGGTGGGTAGGGGTCTCACCTGTCCCCCTCTGGGGCACCCCAAGTGAAACAGCCTGGCGTGGGGTCTGGCGGCATGGTTATGGTGAGCATGTTATATTGCTCCCTTCCAGGACAGAAGGATATGTGATCTGGATGGTGGCCGATGACGAGATTATCTGGACCAGCCAGGGATGGCTTATGGATGCGACTGCTGAGTCACTGGAGATGGGTGGGTGATGGGGTGGTGGGGAGGGGACAGATATGGAAAGAGGATCTCTGTTTCCAGTCCCATCAAACCCAGAGTTCTCAGTCATAAAATCCCGTATATCTGGGTTTTCTAGGGGTTCATTGATGATCTCCCAAATTTAAAGATTAAATAATAGTGGGGTTTAAGTTCAGATTCCACTGTCTCTAAAAATTGCTCTAAAAATTGCTAAACAGTCACTCAAATATTCCTAAGCAAAAAAAAAAAAAAAGCAAGGAAGACGGTTCTAGGTATAGTAAGGGTTTCAATGCTATCAACGTATCAAAAAAAGAACTGGTGACCCACTTTACAGATGGGGAAAGAAGGTTCAGAAAAACAAGCAGCTTGCCTAAGTTTACATACTTAGCAAGTAACAGGAATCAAATTGGTAGAACTGGCTCTAGAGAATGAGCTCTGTCAGTTCACCAGCCACCCTCGCTTCCCCCAGCAGCACCAGCCCAACAGTGTGTCCGCACAAAAAGTCCAGCACTGAATAACAGTAGTGGAGAAGGAAAGATTCATCTGTGGGTTGGGGTTACTTACCCTGCTCTTCTCTGACTTGCACCAATCCCATCTGGAATTTTCCTAATATACCTACTCACATCACTGTCTTCTGTACTCCCATGTTTTACTCTCCTCCCACCCCCCCACCCCCCATCATTCTTTTCTGCATTCTCTTTCCTGTCCGTTTCCACCCCTATTTGATCTATTCTAACCACAGGTTTTATATTCCTTGCTAGGCTCTAAGGTTGTCCAGGGCAGGATGCACACCTGGGAGATTTATTTTCTACCATCTTAAATGCCTCACAAGTGAAGGTACTTAATATAGCAGTTGAATGAGTACTTCCACGATGAAATACTTCCACTATAAAAAGTATTTGTTGTAATGGGATTTCGACCTCTTTTAGAAAACATAGCTTAACAATAACAAGATTCCTCTGTGCAACCACAAAAATAAGGGGCCTGTGGAATTTTTCAATTGCTTCTTTATGATCAACATGTCACGTAACTGTATTTATAGGTATTTTACCTATGGGTGGGGGAGATTTCTTATAAAATTCAAGGGGCCAAAGAGATAGTACAGTGGGTAGATACTTGTCTTGCACATGGTCAACCTGGGTTTGATTCTCTTACCATTGCACATATCCCACAAGCACTGCTGGGAGTTATCCCTTAGCACAGGAGTAAACACTGAGTACTTCCAGCTGTGTCCCCAACCCCAAATTCAAAATGAATAACTAAACATAACTCAAGATGAGCCATTAACCTCCAAAGGGTTTTAAACAGTAAATCTTCAGTTTTAAATTGGATTAGAAAGTCAATTGAGAAAAAACAACTGCTAGGTCAGGGGTTAGCAAACTATAGCCTGCAAGACAAATTCATTTTACTATTTGTTTTTATACTTATAAGTGGCTAGGGGAAACATTAAAAGAAGAACAGTATTTTATGACATATCAAAATCAAATTTTGGTGTCCATGCACAATTTTATTAGAGTATAGCCACACTTCACGATCACAATCATCCTGTTGTTCGTCGATTGCCTCGAGCAGGCAGGCCCCAGTAACGTCTTCCTCGTCCTAGCCCTGAGATTTTAAAGTGCCATTTTCAAGGCTCTTTCAGGGTTAGGAGAATGAGACCCATCATTGTTACTGGTATTTGGCATATTGTGTACGCCATGGGGAGTTTGCCAGACTCTCTCATGTGGGCAGGTTACATTCAGGAGCCTGCCGGGTTGTCCAAAGTAAGAATGAGATAATAAGATGTCATGTGGCCGGATTTGCGGCCACGTGCTTCCAGGAGCTGGGTTTTATAGTTTCTGGGCCTTGGCTGTTGATGGGATTACATGGCCGGGGGGGGGGGGGGGGGTGGTGGTGGTGGTGGAGGAGGGGGGAGGAGGTCAGTTGGTGGGTGTGACCCCTGCCTACTGGAAGATGGAGGATCTGGATGGAGGATGCTCAGCCCCGATCCAAGCAGGCTTGGAGATCTCAGCCCCGGGACCCGCATGCTTTTGTTCCTCTGCTGGTACCTTCACGAAAGTGGAGAGTGGTCTCAGCATGGTTGAAACAAACAGCCACACTTATTTGTTTCTATATTATTATTGGCTGTTTTTATAATAAACAGAAGAGCTGAGTTTTTAAAACCAAGACTGTACTGCCCATAAAACCTAAAACATGGTGGGGTGGGGGCAGAGCGATAGTATAGCAGCTAGGGTGCATGCCTTGCACATGGGTTTGATTCCTGGCAT